ACAAATTTCAGAAATTAGGGTTTAGAGTTTCGAAAATTTCGAAATTAGGGTTTGAGGGGGGGGGGGTTCAAAATTTTTGAGTAATCTAGGGCAAAATTCGGATCTCTTCATGGCTATTTTGAGCATTATTAAATCACATTTAATCAATTCTAAGAGTTAAATCACATTTAAAATAATAATTGACCCATAATTAAATTATTCTCCCTCCTAATTGAATTAAAATTGTGGACTATCAAAGAATTAATATTCAATATATGTACATGCATAGGCTAACTGATACCACTGTAGGAGTTTATAGGTACGAATGCGGAAAACATGAATCATATTCATATAGCACCTAATCCCAAGATCATGCATAAAACATAAATAATTAGAATTAATACCTTTGAAGCGTGATTCCACGTGCGATCGAACAAGAAAAAGGGAGATGAAGAACCTTAAGCGTGATTCCTCTACTTGGTCCACAGGCACAGATTAAGACCTCCACTAATGCTAGTTAGTCGCAATCGAACACTTCAATTGACCTTCTATGGAGAAGAATGAGCAAAGAACAAATCACGAACCAACACGATCAAGGGGGGGAGATAGGCGTGAGAGAGAGAGAGAGAAAGAGAGAGAGAGAGAGAGAGAGAGAGAGAGAGAGAGAGAGAGAGAGAGAGAGAGGTTTTGGGATTACTGGTTGCTTGATGCACAATTAACTGTTAATTGTGTTGTATCATACAACCCTAGGCATAGACCTTATTTATAGATCTCATATCTAAATAAGAGTCCATGACAAAGCCCAAATCCTAACTCTAATCTAACTATGCTAGCCCAATCCAATTCATGATTAGTCACTTGTTCATGAGGCCCATAAATGGGCCTCTAACTTACTTAACGCAATACCTTTGTTGTGTGACCTCATAGGATCCATTCTAGTGGGCTTTGGACTATTTGACTAGCCTAAATATCAATGATCATAGTCTAGCAACATATAATTACGACCCAAAAGAATGAACTTATTATCTCCATAATAGTGATCCTTGATATATCTAGTAATTGCACTTATCAAAGACATAACTCCTTTATTAGGATCATTGGGAGGTCGCCCTTCGTACGATGTGTTACTTGAAAGGATGTCCGGATCAGGGAATCCTATTTAGATCATATTGTGATTTACATGTTACAGGTTGGTGTGACTCGGATTGGGCTAGTTTCCCTTTGACGAGACGATTGATTTCAAGATTGTTGGTGTTTCTTGGTGGTTCTCCTATTTCTTGGAAGACTAAGAAGCAAGACAATGTGGCTAAATCTTCTGCACAGACAGAGTACCGTTCGATGTCTAAAATCATTGATGAGTTAAAATGGTTAAAGGCATTACTTCTCACTTCGGGTGTTTCGTATCCACGTGCGATGAGTCTGTTTTGTGATAGTCAATCGGCGTAATACATTGCGCAGAATCCGGTGTTCCACGAACGTACTAAGCATATTGAGGTTGATTGTCATTATGTCAGGGATACGATTTAGGACGCCATTATTAGTCCGTCATATGTGAAGACTACTGATCAACTAGCTGATATATTTGTTGTAATATAAGAAGTATTTTCAAGGCTATATTCTAAAATAAGAAGATCGAAAAGATGATCTCGTGACAATGAAAGAGTACGGTGTGTCGTGATGCAAATCACTGACTTGAAAACGAAATTCCGGCGCAACCGGGGTGCACTATTGTATTCACCGGGACGTTCCCTAAGGTTAACACACCACTTCCACACAAAGGCACTTTTGGGTGGAAGGTTGGAGCCAAGTAACTTATGCCCAATATAGAGTATGTGTTTAAGCAAGCTTGTGTTCGATATGTATTTCTTGTGTATATAAATCTGAAAACATCCTCTAATTTATAGGGATGAATAAAAAAGATGAAAGATCATGGAGGAATCTTTTATGAACCAAAAAGAGAAATCAGAATTATTATGGTGATTAAAAACACCATAATCAACCTCTTAAATGGGGGGTTACAAGAAATCAAACAAGAAGAGGAATCTAAGGGAACCGTTGGAGTCCAACGGACAAACACGCGCCCGATCGGGCGGACACTCCCTTTTTCCAGACGTCTTCTCGCGCCCGGTCGAGCGGGGCTCGCCCAATCGGGCGCCAGGTCGGGCGGAGCTTGCCCGATCGGGCGGCGGAACTCCAGAATTTTATGACTCTTCTCGCGCCCGATCGGGCGGGTCTCGCTCGGTCAGGCGCCCGATCGGGCGCATGATCAGGCGCCCATATCTGACCTTTTGAATTTCCTTTCTTTATTTCCAACAATATTCACTAAGGCATTAAGCAAACATCAATTTTTGTATTTACTTAACAAGTTGGGCATTTGTGATTTGCATGCTCCAACTTGAGGGGGTGGGGTGTTAAGCCTTAATATTGTATATAGCTTTAGTTTTTGGGCTTATGTTTAAGTCCTAATGTGTTTTAGGTTGTATATAAACCTTGTCATATAGAAACACAAAGCAAGGGAAAATCAATCTAATATATATATATATATATATATATATATATATATATATATATATATATATATATATATATATATATATATATATATATATATATATATATATATATATATATATAAGGGGAGTTTTTAGAGAGCCACATAGGATCTAATTTTCTTAGTGTGCCATGTAGGATTATAAATTTTAGTAGTAACCAATTAAATAGGAGATTATTAAAATCTTTTATAATTAAATAATTCAAATGTCACGTAAGCAAAATTGGCGAATGAGATTTTCCAATTTAAATTAATTAAATATAAAATATTATCTTTTGATATTAGGAATTTTATCTAAATATATAACAAATTTTAGCACATAAATATATGTATAAAAAAAATTATTTTTAAAAATTCAAACAAACCTTGCATCGCACGGGCTTCATCTAGTTCCTAACAAATTGACACTAGAATATGTTCATGGTGAGCTTGGTGCCCTTGCAATGCGCTATATTTATATGTCGTTTGCTGTTTATGATCATGTGAGACTTCTATTTTCTCCTAGAGAAAGTAAAAAATTGGATGAAGAAAATCATCCTTCTCTAAATGTTAAAGGTAAAATTGTCGCTCGGTTTGGCAATATCTATGGGAGCCATGCTTTAGAAGAGTATACTCTTTTTGAGAAGCAATCTAATGAATTTGAACGAGTGGATATTGGTCCGAGAAAAACATTGAGAGGCATGAGGCTTTCTAGAGGTTGGGTGGGTGTGTGCCAGCGTATTCATCCCTTATTCTTTGATCTGGACTAATTCGAGTTTGGAATAGAACGTAAGATTCTTAAAGAAATGGTAGAATTGCGAGTCAAAAATGGATTGGTGTCTGGGGATGAGTTCACTGTAGATGACATCCTTATCCATGTTTGCGTGGGTTGGCAATCACCTAGGCCACGAGGAATATGCATTGAAGAAGCGAGTAGTATCAAGCTTGAGGACAAGGTACTTTTATCCCTTTTTTCGCATTTTTGTTATGAATTTTTTTTTTCATTTCATCATTTGTCTACTTTCTCATCTTACTGGAGTTTAATATGAATCCTCCCTTTTGTAGTCCTCTAGTGATGAAGTATCTCCACAAGAAACTACCAAAGAAGATAGTGATGAGCAAATGATTGAGGTATATTGTCTCTACCACACTAATTTAGTGCTCGTCATTTATTGTTTCTTATTTACATTTATGCATGGCTCTGATATTGATTTCCCTAAACTGCCCTTCTGTATTTAGGCTTGTGTTCTTGAAGCGTCATCAAATCTTAGGCTCCCTTGGTATGAAGTTCTTCCCTGTTTTTAGTTATTGAAATTTGTTGGATGTGTTTGGCTCTCTTCTAAGTTGGACCCTTGTTATGTAGGCGCCCTTGAGACTTGAGAGTGTGGTTTTGCTTGTTTTGTTTACTAAATGACACTCAGAATTTTAGGAATCAAGCATTTTCTTAAATGGGTTTTTCTAAGCTATGCCCCTCAAGTTATTGAATTTCTAAGTTGTACTTATACTTTTTCAAAGTTATAAGTTGTGCCCTCCACCTCACGTTATTTTATTAACAATAACCTTTGACAACCATAATAGTTAACGGACGTTAGAGAGTGTTAAGTGGCATTACTAATAAAATCGTTTAACTAAAAAAAAACTGAAAAAATAAAAAATAAAAATATTTAAAAAAATTAGAAAAAAACCAAAATTCCCTAGCCGCCTTCCCCCCACCACCAAACCCTAACCCTTCCCCTAAACTCACCGGAAATCCTACTGATACTCCACCTTAACCACCTAAATTGGCAAGCCGGTACTCTACCTCCCCATCTGACCCACCTCGACCCCATCCCTTTCCCCTAACCCCCGCTCACTACTAGAAAACACCTTAATTGCGACGGAAAAAGTTCGTCGTAAACTATGTAAATTCCGTCGTAAAGTTGGTTTACGACGGAATTCCGTCGTAAATGGTTGTCGGAAAACCCTTTGTAGGAAAATGGCCATTTTACGACGGAAATTCCGTCGTAAACCAACTTTACGACGGAATTTACGACTGAAATAATATCGTCGGACTTGGAATTGGCCTTAAATGAAGTTCCGTCGCAATGTATATTTGTACGATGGAAAATTCCGTCGTAAATCAAATTTTGCGAGGGAAAATTCCGTCGCAAATTATATTTTGCGAGGGAAAATTCCGTCGCAAATATGTAAATTACGACGAAATATTCCATCGCAAATTGTATTTCCAGCCCAAAACAAATTTTTGTAATTTTCTGCATTTTCAAACCTGAATTTTTTTAATGATAAAAAAAAACTAAATATTGAGTCCTAAAATTGTTGTTTTAAAAAAATTAATTACCGACCTACGAAATTAGGGTTATGTACATATATATATAATAATTATGTCCTAGTACAAAAGATAGTCCACATTTTGGTATCTATACCAAACAAAAGCTAGGTTAGAGGGATTCTATGCTAGACTAAAGCTAAGCTACGCAATCGCCTGGAAACCCTAGCCTGCTCCACCACCACCCGGGTCGTTCCTAGGGTCTCGATGCTGAGGATGAATGGTGGAACATGAGTCGTTGTTGTTGAGACGACTCATCATTTCATCAAAACTCTCCTTGTATCTCCTCTCCATTTCAGCTATTCGGGCTTCCATTTGAGTTTGGAGAGTTTGCATCCTGTGTTCCATCTGGTCTTGCATTTGACAAATGACAGACGGCGTGTATTGCTGTGAAGAACGGGAACCTCGACCCTGTTTGCCATAGTAGAGCTCTGCACTTTGGCCAAGTCCCTTCACACGCCCCTTCTTATTGCGCCCACCCACCGACTCCCAGTACAACTCATTGGGACTCTTCTGAATCCCCTGACTCATTGTTTCTTCGAGCTTCTTCTGGTAGGTGTCCTACAAAATATTGAAGATAAAATAAAATATTGTTAAAAAAAAACCAACAACATGGAGTTATATCGCATACTTTTAGGTGCCTAAGGATAGAAATTAAGAAAATTAAGCACATAAGTCAATTTTCAACCCTCGCTCATCCAAAATCATCCAAATTTGGGCTATATCGCTAAAACCATGCCTATTTTCTAAGTTTTCAAGAAAATGGACTCGTTCTTTCTTCTAACATTCCAATATCAATTGCTTTTAAGTGCCTAGGATAGAAATTAAGAGAAATAAGCACATATGTCAATTTTCAACCCCCACTCATCCAAAATCATCCAAATTTGGCCTATATGGCTAAAACCATGCTTATTTTCTAAGTTTTCAAGCAAATGTAAGGTTTCTTTTTTCTAAAATTCCAATATCAATTGATTTTAAGTGCCTAAGGATAGAAATTAAGAGAAATGAGCACATATGTCAATTTTCAACCCTAACTCCACCAAATTCATCCAAATTTGGCCTATATGGCTAAAACCATGCCTATTTTCTAACTTTTCAAGCAAATGGACTCGTTCTTTCTTCTAACATTCCAATATCAATTTCTTTTAAGTGCCTAAGGATAGAAATTAAGATAAATAAGCACATATGTCAATTTTCAACCCTCACTCCTCCAAAATCATCCAAGTTTGGCCTATATGGCTAAAACCATGCCTATTTTCTAAGTTTTCAAGAAAATGTCAGGTTTTTTTCTTCTAACATTTCAATATCAATTTCTTTTAAGTGCCTAAGGATAGAAATTAAGAGAAATAAGCACATAAGTCAATTTTCAACCCTCACTCATCCAAAATTATCCAAATTTGGCCTATATGGCTAAAACCATGCTTATTTCTAAGTTTTCAAGCAAATGTAAGGTTTCTTTCTTCTAAAATTCCAATAGCAATTGCTTTTAAGTGCCGAAGGATAGAAATTAAGAGAAATAAGCACATATGTCAATTTTCAACCCTCACTCCTCCAAAATCATCCAAATTTGGCCTATATGGCTAAAACCATGCCTATTTTCTAAGTTTTCAAGCAAATGGACTCGTTCTTTCTTCTAACATTCTAATATCAATTTCTTTTAAGTGCCTAAGGATAGAAATTAAGAGAAATAAGCACATAAGTCAATTTTCAACCCTCACTCATCCAAAATCATCAAAATTTGGCCTATATGGCTAAAACCATGCCTATTTTCTAAGTTTTCAAGCAAATGGACTCGTTATTTCTTATAACATTCCAATATCACATAGTTTTAAGTGCCTAAGGATATAAATTAAGAGAAATAAGCACATATGTCAATTTTCAACCCTAACTCATCGAAAATTATCAAAATTTGGCCTATATGGCTAAAACCATGCCTATGTTCTAAGTTTTCAAGCAAATGGACTCGTTCTTTCTTATAGAATTCCAATATCACATACTTTTCATTCCATAAAGATAGAAATTAAGAGAAATAACACATATGTCAATGTTCGACCCTAACTCATCCAAATTCATTCAAAATAAGCATATATTGAGTTCTACTTTGCTAATTTGCCATATTTCAACTCATATAATAAGTGTTTACCGCAATCCTTTTTGCTTTGTTGTTGGCAGCCACTTGGCCTTTACCAGGCACTTCCTTGAAGTGTGTCTTCAAGAAAATATCATGGGCATTTGGTAATTGGCCTTGGTTTTTTGCAGCCTTTATATGTACATGCAGAAAATCAATGAAAACATGTTAGCCCACCAAAATTCATTAATAGACAAATGACATAATTGTTACTGGACATATTGTAGGAACCTTACCATCTTTTTAGCATGTTGTACAGATGACATTGAACCTTGAAAGTGGGTCGGTTCAACGACATTTTCCATGGATCCGCCTCTTCGGTTCTTCTTGTTTTGTTCCGACCGCTTCTGATATTTTGGATCGGTGGCAATAATTTTCATCATGCCTTCGTGGACATCCTTATTAAGCCATCTTGGTTTGCGACCATTCAGCCTGTGTGTGATGTTGTAGAATGTGTCACGTAGGCGATTTGCAAACTTTTCTTCGAAAGTGTCCTTCACTTGGTTGTTTAACTCAGGTGCCCACTTGAATTTTTTCTGCAAATCAAGAAAATGTCTTTATTACAAAATTCAACTCCATCAATATAATTTATAAAACATGTATTATGTTAGGTTAAAGTTATCATACGTTGAACAAGTTCCAAAAGTGCTCTCTCGAATCTTCATCAACCTCTCCATAATTCCTCCAAGGCTGAACATAGTAGCCGGTTAGCGAGTCGGAGAGCACATTCTTCACCGGCCTAACATCAAACCTATAGTAAAGGATAGACATTCATGTAAGTAGATAATCAACAAAAAGTGAACAAAACATGGTTAAAGTAATACAAATTTACTTTATCAAAGTAAATACGAATTTAAGGATATTTCATTTTACAAATACATAGCACCAAAGTGTGGAAGGGTCCAACTCTAGCAAGTCATTAGGATGCGGGTCCTGTAGCTCCTGTTCCTGAAGCTGCTGTTGCTCCTGTTGCCCTTGTACATTTCTGACGATTTCTTGAGAGGCCCCCAAATCATGTGCCTCCGCTTCCTCCATTGACTCATCCTCATCAACACGTACAACCGGAGATTTCCCCTTAGACTTTCTCCTCTTGGACGTTTCTCCTTTATTTCCTCCTCCCATGATGACCACCTGAAAAATTTATTAGTACCATAATCGCACATTGTAAATTCATAAATTAGATCCATAAGACATTAAAATAATAAAATGAGACCAAAAATGTAATGCAATATTACAAATCCGAGTAGTCATTAAAAACTAAACATTCTAAGACAATAGTAAAAGGAGTAACTACATATTCTCCTCTTCATTACTCTTATCACTACTACCACTATCATTATCACTATCATTATTACTATCACTAGTGTCATCTAAAAATACATCGATGTCCTCTTCTTCGTCACTGTCACTGGAGCCAATGTTTTCTTCTTCTTCATCGCTTGAGATAATAAAGCCATCGTCATCATCATCATCACTATCAAGTTCATAGTCTGGAATGTCATTTGGTGGACAAAGCGTTGCATGTACTTGTGGGGTAGGACCCTGCAAAAACTCTAAATCCACCGGAGCATCAATCACCGACCTTGCTTGAGTTCTAAATACAGCCCACCATTGAACCCGATCACGTTTAAGGCTAGGGTAAGATGCATAATACACTTGAGACACTTGGTAAGATAAGACAAATGGATCATACTTGGGATACTTCTTAGTATGATTTACTTCGACAAGCTTGTATTGTTCATGAATGTTCATTCCTTTACCACAATCCATCCAACTACAACTAAACAAAATAGTCTTGTACTCTTTTTCAGGACCGGTGTAGACAAGTTCAATTATGTCGTTTAAAATGCCAAAGTACTCTCCACCGTCCTCACTTGAGACACACACCCCGTAATTCATCGTAGATTTGTGTTTGCCATAGGACTGTGTGTGGAAATTAAAGCCACCGACAAATATCTGGTTCCAAGTTCAAACACGCTTGAAAGGCCTCATAGACAATGCTCGCAACACATCGGAACTTGGTTTTTTTTTCTCTCACCTATAACTGTTACGAATACAAGCGTCACACTAATTGAAATGAAATATATTATATTATATTATCACAAATTAATCGAGATGCAATGTTCGAAAGGTATTATCACCTTGTGATGAAACCAATTAGGGAATTCACTTTCGCATTTCTCCATGACATCTTCTCGACGCAAATAAGTTCGAGTACTAAGAATGTAGTCCTCAAACTGCCTAATAGATTAATGACACATGGTTAATCATTGCAGCAATTATATTAAATTTAAGGGATTTTCAAAAGTTTATCGTAAACATATATACCTTTCGTATTCACCAAGAATGCCGGTATTTCTTAAAACGAACAAATGAGCACGTTCAAGTTCCTTGTCATCTAAATACCGAGTTTTACCCAAATTTGACACACGACCCTTATCCACCGTGAACAACTCTGGGATTTCATTGTTGTCAGCCGGGGATTCCACATCAGCATTCACATTTTGACCTAGATCTCGTGTTTTTGTGTCAATTGAGGGCTGAAAGTAATTGAAGCAGAAGTTTGATATCTCTTCAGTGAGATAAGCGTTGCATATGGAACCTTCAACACGAGCCTTATTACCAATTTTTCATTTCAGGTGATTGAGGAACCTGTAATTATGTTTATGTAGCCGTAGAAGTATAAGTAACGGAAATCAATGAAAAAGATGAAAGTAAGAGTTGAGAAAGGACCTTTGATTTACCTTTCGAAAGGATACATCCACCGATATTGAACAGGTCCACATAACTTGCCCTCATATGGCAAATGAATTGGTAAATGCTCCATGGAGTTGAAGAAAGATGGGGGGAAAAACTTCTCAAGCTTGCACAGGATCTCAGCTATGTTTTTTTTCCAATCGCTCCATGTCGCTAACTGTAATTGTGTAGCAACATAAATCGCGAAAGAATTGGCTTATCTCTGTAATTGCATTCCATATATGGGTAGGGAGCAATTCTCTCAAAGCAGTGGGCAACAACCTCTCCGTGAACACGTGAAAATCATGACTTTTCATTCCATGTAACTTACCTGATTGCAAATCAAAGCATCGGCTCAAATTGGAAGCGTAACCATCAGGAAACCGCAGCTGTTTGACCCACTCACACAAAACCTTTCTCTGAGCCTTATCAAGAGCAAATGGAGCCTTTGGCATGAATTCTTTTCCTCTATCATCCTCTTGAAGATGTAGTTGGGGCCGTTTACAGTATTTAGCAATGTCATTCCGAGCTGATGGGGTGTCACAAGATTGCTTTTTCACGTCCATTATAGTGTGAATCAACTGATCAAAAAAGTTTTTTTCAACGTGCATGACATCTAAGTTGTGACGAACAAGCAGATGTTTCCAATATGGAAGGTCCCATAGAGTGCTTTGCTTGAACCACCCTTTTTTTGCATTCGTGACACGTTTCAGTGCCTCGGGGCCATCTGTTGCTTTTGGGAGGTTTTTCACACATTCCCAAAGTTCCTCTCCTGACATGATGTGAGGTGGTGAACCTTTTTTGACTTTGTTTTTACAAAATGCATTTTTACTATTTCGAAAAGGATGATTTGTCGGAAGGAATTGACGATGGCAGTCAAACCAAGAAACCTTACCACAATTTTCGAGCCAAAATGCTTTGCTTTTCTCCATACAATATGGACAAGCCTTCTTATCGGTTGTGGTCCAACCAGATAACATACCATAAGCCGGGAAGTCACTAACGGTCCATAGGATGGCTGCTCGAAGATTGAAATTTTGTTTTCTCGAAATATCGTAAGTATTTGCCCCAACTTCCCACAACTGTTTCAACTCGTGTATGAGCGGCTGCATGTAAACATCCAAGTTGCCCTTAGGGTTTTTAGGACCAGGAACGAGTAACGAAAGAAACATGAACTGTCTTTTCATACACATTGACGGAGGCAAGTTATAAGGGGTCAAAATGACAGGCCAACATGAATACTGTCCCCCAAACTGACCATGTGGAGCAAATCCATCCGTACATAGGCCAAGTCGAACATTACGAGGTTCAGAGGCAAACTCAGGAAAGCAACTATCTGGGTGTTTTCACGCTTCACTATCGCTAGGATGTGCCATTGTGCCTTGAACTCGAGGATTTTTAGCATGCCATGTCATTTCCTCAGAAATGTTTTTAGTTGCAAAAAGCCTTTGCAACCTAGGTGTGATAGGGAAATAAAATAGAACATTCAAAGGCACTAAGCTACCTTTAGAAGTCTTCTTGTATCGGTCGCTGCCACACACCCTACATGTAGATAATTGAGCATCTTCTTTCCAAAACAACATACATCCTTTCGGGCATGCATGAATCTTTTAATGGGGCAGCTCTAACCCCTTAACAATTTTCTTTACCTCATAGAATGTCTCGGCCATGTGGTTGTTGTTAGGAATCGCTTCATTAACCAAAGAAGCAAATCCATCAACACATCTGTGCGGCAAATTATACTCACACTTTAGGCTAGTGATTCTAGAAGCCATCTCTAACACAGACAATGAACTCCCTTCGTACAACGGTTGTTCAGAAGCCCTTAACAAATTAAAAAATGGCTTGGCTTGTGCATTAGGCTCCTCCTCTAATGAAACAGGTGGCTCTTCGGAATGGCCTTTATCTTGAGACTGACCAAAGGCATCCAAAACCATTTCACGATATTCATTTGACTCCCTTCTACGAGTTCCTAGAAACCCTTCCCCATGACACATCCACTCGTAGTAATTAGGTAAAAAACCGCTGCGATACAAATGAAGTTTGACCGTATCTGGATCCCAGAGACGTTTGTTTTTGCATTTAAAACATGGACACCTAACTTCATTCGGGTTGCTACTCTCGGGATGATCTTCCACATATTTAAGGAATTCATCTACCCCTTTCAAGAACTCAGGATTAATAGAATTCCCAACCGTCCTTTCGTACATCCAGCTACGTTCTTTTCGTTTCATGATTACAAGTTCTACACAACTAACACATATGCCATTAATCACATTAGTCATAAAGCACAATATATATTCATTGTAGATCAAACTGTTATGGAAATGCAAATGAGAAGATAAATGATTTCCAAGGGTCCTTATCACTCCAACCTAACCCATCCTTGTACGTTCAATCTCACTAGTGAATGTATGCCAGAATTTCAATTCTATGGAAAATCCGGCAGCATCTCCCTACAGTTCCCCGAGTACACAATATAGGCGATTAGAAACACCTATATATGTACCTAGAGAACATTGTAGAGAAATGACAAGCAAGGATCTTCCTTAGAATTAAAACAAAGGAATACATTCACCACCTAAGTGAGAATAAACGTACAAGGACAGTCCCAACCGGGGACTATTGAAGACATACTCCTAATGTGTATGCCTTGAACGGGTATCTAGGCATATGATTATGCAAATGATTTTTTTAAGAAATATATATACTTAACTAACATACATATTATTAAACAAATATATCAAGATTAAACTAAACAAGAGAAACAAATCAAACCAAACCAAAGTAAACTAATATATCATATTAAACTAAACCAAACCAAACTACCGTTTTATATATTAAATTAAACTAACATATTTCTAAAAAAAACTATACTAAATTAAGATACTTTATATTAAAATAAATTAAACTACAACACATTATATTAACATAATATTAACTAAACTACATTATGTTAAACTAAACTAAACCAAACTAACATTGTTTATTTTAAAGATCAAGGGAGCAATTAATTAATTATAAGATTTATTTAAAAATATATATACTTAACTAACATACATAATATTAAACAAATATATCAAGATTAAACTAAACAAGAGAAACATATCATAACACCATACTATTAATATAAACCAAATCAAACCAAACCAAAGTAAACTAATATATTATATTAAACTAAACCAAACCAAACTACCATTTTATATATTAAATTAAACTAACATATTTCTAAAAAAAAACTAAACTACAATAAGGTACTTTATATTAAAATAAATTAAACTAAAACACATTATATTAACATAAACTTAACTAAACTACATTATGTTAAACTAAACTAAACCAAACTAACATTATATTGTTTTTTTAAAGAGAAGGGAGCAATTAATTACTTATAAGAGATCACCAATGTCACTAAATTAACCAAACTAAAAGTTATTGAATATCTAACAACCAAAGTAAGATACACATATACATTATATTAGGGTTTGTAATGTAACTAATCTTTAGATCTGCACTTATTTTTAACAATTAAACCAACAAAATTGTACAAATCCTACAACAAAATTAAATTGAAAAAAAGGGGGAAAGCAAAGGCAACTTACTGTCAGGCGGAGGTGGGGCGTCGCCGGAAACAACCAAGGGCCGGTGGGTTCAGTCACGGCTAGGGGACGGAGGTGCGGCTGCGTTGTGGGTTCAGCAAATTTTACCATGTTATTCCGGTAGTTTTTTTGCAAAAAAAAAAAAAAAAAAAAATTAATTGACAATTGCACACACTTACCTAGACGCGGCGGCTCGCCGGAAACCACCAGGGCTTGAAAGCTCGCCGGAAACCTTCCTCCCTTCCTCCTTATCTTTCTCTTTCCCGTTCTCTTTCTCCTCTCTCTTTCTTTCCCGTTCTTTTTCTCCTCTCTGTTTCTCGTTCTCTTTCTCGGCGGCTGATGTGCAGGCGTCACCGGCGTAAAGAAATCACCGCCGCCGCCGTGACTTTCTCCTCTCTCCTTCTCTCTCTCCTTCTATTTCTCTCTCTCCTCGCGCTGCTTCACTTCTCTCTCTGATTTTCAATTATTTCCCCCTTTTTTTTAGGGCAAGGTCGCAATTTCAATTTTGAAAAAATGACAGTAGAATTTACGACGGAATTTATTTCCGTCGTAATTTAAAACTTACGACGGAATATTCCGTCGCAAAACACTTTACGACGGAATATTCCGTCGCAAGTTTTAAATTACGAGGGAAATAAATTCCGTCGTAAATTTTACGAGGGAAAAAGCGTCGTAATCGAAATTTTTCGTCGCTAAATTGCGACGAAATATTTTCCGTCGAAAATATCTACCTTTACGACGGAAAATCATATCCGTCGTCAGCATTCCGTCGCAATTTAGCCTATTTCTAGTAGTGGCTGCATCCACCTTTTTTATCGAAATCCCGACTACCCGACAGCGCTCCTGCTTCCTTCCCCGATTCCTCCACCTGAAACAACCCCCAACTCCCTTTCCCATACCTTGAAATGGCGAGGGAAGGTCGTTTCCAGGTGGGGGAAATGGACTGTTGGCTGTTTTGTGGTGGTTTAATGGAGGAATGACGGGTGGTTGTTATTTTGGGCTGGGTTACGTCACGTGGTTGGGTTCGTGGTGGGTTAAGGAAGGAAGGAGGGCAAGGGGGAAAGGGTGGGGGCTTGTCAATTGTCTGGGTGAGGGTGGGCGGCTGGTCGCCGGATGCGACGACGTGGGCTGATGGACTGGATTGTGGTGGTGGGAGGGGTGGTTGGTTTTTTTCTAATAAATTCTTTATTAAGTTTTAATTATTTTATTTTCTGATTTTTTTTTTTAATTTTTCTTTAAGTGTTAGAGCAATTAGAACAGGAAACGTGTCAAATTAATAACGCCCCCTGATGTTTGTTAACTATTATGACTGTCAAAGGATATTGTTGACAAAATAACATGAGGTGGAGGGCACAACTTATAAATTTGAAAAAGGACAGGTACAACTTAGAAATTCAATAATTTGAGGGGCATAGCTTAGAAAAACCCTTCTTAAATTTATCAAAAAAAAGAGGGGTGTCAAAGGATTTATTAAGAATACTAATGGTATTTTGACAGATATGACATCCCTTCTAGCCTCGAGTAAGGCTGCATACACGGAACAATAGGTTCGAGATCATACGAAGTGATTGTTTGATTATTGGTTCTTCAAAAAAACAAGAAAAAAAACACACACACAAATACGGTTTTAAATAATAGCATCACGTAAATGAGCTTTTGTGCAATTTGATGGTTTTATGTATTTTTTGTGATTTGTCCTCATAGTGTACGTGTGTTTGCTTGTTTCTTCAGGTTTTTGCGTGCACATCAAAATAGACCATTTGCATCTCCTTCAATAGAGATATTTTCTGTTTTCATACGTAGAGAAGAGTTTAAAGCTATGCAAGTTTATAGTTATACTGAAGTATCATTTTCTTCTTATACATTTGATATCTTCAAAAGAGAAGCAAATGATGCTTTTGTATTATCAGAACATAACAAAACTTTATCTATGCTAGATGACTCTCGAGTTTATGACAATTGTGATTCCTTGGAAATAAAAATCGACATTAACGATGTTGAAAATCGTTTGTGCATTAAAGGTTGTGTGAAATGGGATTGGAGATCTCGTGATTATGGCTCTTTATGCCTTGACAACCAACTATGTTCAGTCGTTCTAGGTGAATAGTGTTTTGCAGCTACCCATTACACCGTGTTTTCAGAAGTCGTACAAGCAAATATAGAATTTTCATATATACCGAAGAATGGACATATTGATGTTCATCCCAAGGTTTATGGGAGTCTTATTGAATAGCTCAATATAACAACTATGACTATACATCCCGATATAACAGAGCTTACTATCATATCAAATAGTACTTTTTCTGAAGAATCGAGAAGATCCAGCACAACTAAGGAAGAGTGGGGTGATAGCACTATCTAGATTGGTGGTTGTTGTGCCACTAAAGTCCTCTCTTATTATTGAAGCATATCTATGGAATGGAAAATTTGATGAAGTCTTATCGTCCTCTACTGAATTCCGGATTGGGGCATTGAGTGAGTCTATGACAATGGAGGGAGATGATAATTCTGTTAATATTAACGTAAAGTGGGGTGAAGTTGGTAGTAATTAAATGTCTTTTTGAAATAGCCCACTGTCAAGTATGCTTGGTTTTGAAGTAGCAAGATTCTAGAAGATACTAAGTAATCTTAGAATGGGGAATAATGCTCAAGGAAAACCGATGGAATGAACTTTTCAAGTACTTTGGTGTCGTAAATGTCTATGCTAGGCCTAGATAAGTCTGCTGGTTTATTTTATTTGAAAAATAGAAACTAATAATCTCACCTTTAGTCGGTCTTCCATAAACAATCCCACCTTTTGAAATTCCAAAAACAATCTCATCTTTGACATGGATCTTTCATTAACTATCTCTGACCGGTTGGATAGTTTTGTTAACCGGTTTTCCTAGATTATAAGACACGAGTCGAATTTTAATAGGTTTATTCAAACTTTTAATAATAATAAAAAAAAAAAACTAATTAAAAAAAAAAAACCAAACTCCCATCTCCAGCCCCAGCATAACCCCGCCACTAGCCCCACCCCCGCCACTTTATTCCCTTCCCCATCGCCGCCCTTACTTTACCGGGCAACCTGACCTAGCCCTCAACTCACCATCGCCGCCACCAAAATCAATGAAAACCTTCCAAATCTACCGCTAGAACCCCGACAATCCTTCAAAACCCGAGCTCAAAAACTATGAGATCGACCTCAAGGAGTGCGGTCTCATGGTTCTCGACGCTCTCATCAAGTTCAAGAACAAAATCGATCATTCTCTCTCACCTAGTCACCTTCTGCCGATCTTGTCGCGAAGAAATTTGTGGTTTTTGCGCTATGAACATCGATGGTTGTAATGTCCTCGCTTGTCTTACGAAGATCGATTTGTCGGCTTCGACTGCTTCGATGACTACGCCGTTGCCGCATATGTTTGTGATTAAGGATGGTGGTTGATATGACCAATTTCTATAATCAGTGTAAGAGTATTGAGCCTTGGTTAAAGAGAAGCTTCTAGGTTTAATTTCAAGCTAAAAATCAAATTTAGAGGTGATTGGGGCTGTCTGGTTTAGTTTTTAGGGCTAAGGGTTAAGTTTTCAGGCTGGGTGGGGGTTTTTCGAGACTGTGGGTGGAGTTTTTGGGGCGGGGGTAGTTACAACATGGTTGGAGTGTTTGGTGGTGGCGGTTAGGGTTAGGGTGACCATGGTGGTGGACTGGTGGCCCTAGAAGAGATTCAGGTAAAAAAAAAAAAATTAACCTGTTTAACAGGTTGTAGGTTAAAGGGATCGTTAGTGGAATATCCATGTTAAAGGTGGGATTGTTTCTGGAAGACCGACTAAAGGTGGGATTATTAGTTTACATTTTTCCTATTTTATTTAAGTCAATTAAATTGCCTAAAATTATGTGTTGGTTAAAGTGTAACACTTATTAAAACACGGAGGGAATACACAACATGAATTTGCTTCAAATAGATCATAGGATCCCAATAGCCATTAAATCTCAACAGTAAAAAAAAAAGAATAAATATTGTAAATTTCTTCGTTTTACTTCAAGAACTCCAACACAAACACCTTAGTAAGAGCCTGTTCTCTTCAGCTTAATTTCAGTTTAGTTCAGTATCTAATTTTTTTTCTTATAAAATATTCTCTTTAATTAAGTTCAGCTCCAATTAGTTCAATAAATTAGAATAGGCCCTAATTCTTGTAAAAATTGCCTTAGTGTAGGCTATCTCACAACTCTATTGTCTCTATACATGATTGACGGTTGTAGGAGCTTCTAGTATCAAAGATAAACCAACAAATGATACAAAATTAATTTCACATCAATATAAAAAATGTAATAAAGTCAAAGGCATCAACAAATGTTTCTAGCCAATAATATATAGAAGAATAAATGAGCCAAATAAATCATCAAATGGAATAATAATAGACGTGCATGCAATGGTTGACAATAATGTTTTGAGGATAGTAATGGAGTTATGGGAAGCACGTCTACCCTTCCACTAACATTCTATAAAACTTGTCATGCAATTAGGCTCGTATGACACTTCATTAACCATCTTTATTTAGTCAACATATTGGAAAAAGTCAAGGGAGAGATAGAAAGATGGCGGCGAGGGTGGCGATGATGAGCTTAGTAGGGTGGATGATGGTGGTGATAATGTTGGGATGCAGCCTCAAAGCAATAGAAGCAACAAATGATGAAACAGAGAAATTTCATGTGAGTGGCTTAGTTAAATGCCAAGATTGTTCCGGAGATTGGAATGCATGGGTTGAAGGTGGAAAACCTATTAAAGGTACGTCTTATACATTTTAATGTTTGTTTTAACTTTTACTCGTACTTAAATTTTATTATTTCATACATCATAAATGCCAAGACATGTATGTTTACTCGATCTTTCTCTAAATTAAAATAAAATTGAGGATAAAGAGATATTTTATGGAGTATAATATACAAAGTATACAATAATTATTGTACGACATATTTATGTTATCCTAATTATGCCCTTTAGTACATAGCAATTCAATATAAGAAAGATTATTTTTAGATGTATGGAACTTAATTTTACCAATATAAGTAATTACTCCCTACTAATTAGTGATAGATTAAAAGCATATGAGTATATTTTGAATATCAAAGAAAAACGTGATTTTGATTATATATGAATATATGATGATATGGATAGTTGATTTCAAAGTCAACGTACATGTTGAATTCATAGTGTAAGCTAAGTATTATTACATGCATGTTTAAACTCAATATATAGGGAAATTCTCTCTTTCTCATATTGAGACATAAGGGTATTATCGTGAAAAAATCAACAACTTTTTCATTATTGCGTGCTCCACAATTGAATAAAGTTGTTGGTTTATTTACGAAAATGTCATATGATTTTGTTTCTCACTATGAGACCCCGTGACATTCTCATATATGTATATGTTCTTGCTATCTTCTCAAAATAAATTAATTGGTGATGACATTTAATCAATAAATAAATATAAAAATAAATCAATAAAAAATCAATCGGCTGTATGATTAAATTAACATGAAGTTCAATCTTCCAATTAACAGGTGCTAGAGTATCAATAACATGTTTAGATGAGGGCAAGGGACTAGCATTCTACAACAGCGACGCGACAGATGATGATGGTGAGTTCAACATGGTGGTAGACAAGGTGAAACATCGCAAGAATTTGAACCCAAAAGATTGTATAGTGAGATTAGTATCATGCCCAGATAAATCATGCAATATACCAACAGATTTTGGACAAGGAAATACAGGAGTTAAACTAAGGCAGCCTTCGGTTATGTTTAGGGGTATGACCAAATATGTTGTTGGTCCTTTTTTTTATACCACACCTACTTGTGATGTTAATCCTGATGATGATACTAATTCCTACCAAGTCTCAAAATGAGTATCTTGTGTAATTACATATTAACTTTTTTTTTGTTTGATTTGTTGTAAATTGAAAACAAATCCTAATGGCTTGTTGTTTTGTTAAGAACATTTAGTGTTTTCTTTCAAAAAAAAAAAAAGAATATTTAGTGTTTAATTTGTGAATTATAATGATCGAGTTGGTCATATGTGGGAGAACAAGCAAAATTTTTAATTTTGGTAGTTATTGGATAATAATTGAATGAATAACATTAGTTGACTAAATTTATTAAAAGGCAGGTAATGGCAAATATTTCTATCATTTATTTAACAAGTATTGCATAATTATGGTAGTTGAGCTATCAATAGCTGATACCATATATAACATGAACCGAGCATAAAATTTTTGGTTAGTATCAAGCTAAGGGCTTAGTGGCTTACGAGTTACAACATGATTAATTAAACGGGTCAATTTGACATAACACATTTAATTGTACAGGTGGAGTTAGTGTTCAGATCCCAACACAAAACTAACATGGCTTAACCAACCTGAAACCAATATTTATGCAATTAAGAAAAATTTATTAATTACTACCTCAAAAAAGAGTCTTTGTGAATTACTATCCTTAAAAAAAGTTGTTTATTACTACCCCTAAAACTGATTAATTCTAGCAACTACTAACTTTTTTCTAATCAGCCTACTTCAACTCTTAATGATATCATTATTCAACTAAATTCTAATTAGTAGCAGTTAAACCTTAATTAATTAAATAAACCCTAGCACCACCTTCCCACCACCATTGCACCACCTCCGGCGGCCCCCTTTGTCCCCATACCACCTCCGATGACAGCCCCTTCACCATGAAACCCACTCCCCACGCTTAATCCCCCACCACAAAACCCACCATCCTGTTCCCCCACCACAAGATCCACCCCCTTCATGTTCCCCCACTACGATTTCCACCTCTATTATGCTTCCTCGACACACAATTCCCACCCCCTCACCTTCCATCACCTCGAAACCCATCCTCCTTCCATTCCCCGCAACGAAACAAAGCCCTAGCGTGGCTGGGCTGTTTTCAGGGGCTAGAAGAAGGGAAGGAGCAGTAATCGGGGTTGAGGAATGGGGAGGCGATGAGTTCGTTTTAAGGGTTAGAGCAAAGGGAGGGGTGGTAATTGTGATGGGTTTCACGGTGGGGGTGAGTTTCGTGGTGGATGACCAAGAGATGGTAGATTTCGCGGTGGGGGAACTGCCGAAGGTGGTAAAGGAGAGTTTCCGGAGGTGGTGGGTAGGTGGTGTATGGGTTTATATGATTAATTAAGGTTTAAAAGCTATTAATTACAATTTAGACGAATAATGATGTCATTAAGTGTTTAAGTAGGCTGATTAAGAAAAAAGGTAGTAATTACTAGAATTAATCTATTTTAGGGGTAGTAAATAACAACTTTTTTAGGGTAATAATTCACAAAGGACCCCTTTTTGAAGTAGTAATTGACTAAATTTCCTAGAATTAATGAAATATTTGTTGTATGAGGTTAACATTAATTATTTTATATAATACAACATGGCATGAAATAGTTGTTAGCATCAAAGGTTTTCGAGATGTTTGATTAAACATGTCAATATGACATGATACATTTATCAATTGGGCAGGTTAGTGTTGAAGTTTTCCAACTCATTTAACTTTATTTGAAAACGAGCAAAACACAACACGACACGTTTACCAGCTCTACATGATACTAATGCAAATATACTCCGAAGTGCATTTGAACCAATATGGCTTACTAACCTAACATTCACTAGAAGGTTTTTCAGTGCGGCACGGGTTACTTGTATTTTAGGGTTACATGTATTTTGGGGTTACTTGTAGGGTGTTACTTGTATTATGGGGTTACTTGTATTATGAGGTTACTTATATGTGTTACTTGTATCATGGGGTTACTTGTATTCTGAGTAACTCCTATAAGTAACTCCAAACTAAAATCTCATACCAAACCAGTAATACTCTACAAGTAACCCCTGATCAAAACCAGTAACACCTATACAAGTAACCCTAGAATAAAAATAACACATATAAGTAGCTCCTGACAAAACCAGTAACACCCTACAAATAATCCCGACCAAAACCAGTAACACTCATACAAGTAACCCCAGAATACAAGTAACACAAACAAGTAACCCCTGACAAAACCAGTAACACCCATACAAGTAACCCCAGAATACAAGTAACACCTACAAGTAACCCCTGACAAAACCAGTAACACCCTACAAGTAACCCCGACCAAAACCAGTAACACCCATACAAGTAACTCCAGAATACAAGTAACCCGTGACAAAACCAGTAACACCCTACAAGTAACCCTTGCCGCACCATGTGGCCAGCCACATACAAAAATTTGTATCACTAGATTTATTGCAGGGATATATTTGCCAATCGCCACTATACAAGTAACCCTTGGTGTTGGCATTGGTCAAAAAATGGCGTTTTTACTGTGAAGTCTGCCTACAATCTGCTGAGTATGGAGCAGGATCGATCAAAAGCTTCCACCTCTACAGCCTCGATTAAGTTTGATTGGGATTGTATTTGGAATGCTGCTCTTCCCCCGAAAATTAAAAATTTCTGTTGGCGTGCTATTCGTGGGGCTGTTGCTGCTCGTGCTACATTGCTTCATAGAGGTATGACAATTGACCCTGTTTGTCCCATGTGTGGTGATGCCCAAGAAACTATTTTGCACATGCTTGTGTTGTGTGAAGAAGCAAAATTGATGTGGCTTCGTTCTCCTCTGAGGCTGGATGTTTCGAATGTGAGTGGCAGTAGTTTCGTTGATTGGTGTAATGGGTTAAGGGTATTGTTTAAAGACCCGTCTTGGTGGAATGTTTTTTGGAGCATTGTATGGGGAGTGTGGCTTCGAAGAAATGATTGGGTGAATGCAGGCAGAAAAAAGGATTTAATTGATGTCATTCACAAAGCCGTGAGTGTGGTGGGAGAATTTGAAAGTGCAATTGAAAAAGCTGGTTCTAGCCCCGTCTCTGAAGTGCTGGAATGCAAGTGGAACTCTCCTCCAATTGGTATCATAAAGATAAATACTGATGCTGCTATTTTTTAGTCATCCATGGTAGGATTGGGGGGTGTTATGAGGGATAATGTTGGAGATGTGGTGGCTGCCACATGTTTGCAAGTTGCTGGGAGGTTCGATGTTGATGTTGCAGAGGCTATGGCTTTGAGGCATGCGTTATTGATCGCATTGGAGGCTGGTTTCGTGAAGCTGTGTCTTGAAACGAATAACCTTAAGCTGTATCACAGCCTGTGTAAGGGGAGGGAAAACTTGACGCCTTTTGGTCTGATCATCAAAGATATAAACAAGCTTGCTAGTTCCTGCATTTCATGCTCCTTTGCTTTCGTTAAAAGATCTGGAAATCAAGTGGCTCACTTTCTAGCAAAGCTTAGTAGCAAGTTCTCTTCTCTTAGAGTTTGGTTAGAAAATAATCCTAGTGATATACATGAGTTTGTAATGGCTGACTTAAGCCCTGCTACTTCTTAATAATATTTCTTCGGTTCCCGTCAAAAAAAAAAAAAAAATTGATTTCCTTAAAATCAGTTTATTGATAAAAAGTTAAATGACGTTTACAAAGAGATAAAAATAAAAAAATAAAAAAAATGTATCAAATAGAAATCTCCTTTCAGCTAAGGTACAATCGTTGTATATCAAACATTCTTCAGACCCTTCTATTTATTGTTATACGAGCTTCTTCAAGTAATACGGAGTAACCGAGTAATATTGAAAAATAAGTCATTGCTTTTAATTCCATAGCTAATATCTATACTTATATATTGGCGTTCCTAAGAACGTTCACGTGTCACGTAAGCCCTCCTCACTACGCCACGTCACCTACTCAACTATTCATTACGCCACGTGGCTCTCCTTTCATTTGTTTTTCATTCCATGTCATGGACTCATCATAATTAAAAAAAAAAAAATCTCCATAAGAATTGAATCCACAACCTCTAATTCTAGGACTAAGTATCTTACCACCAAGCTATGTAATTTTTTATGCAATCTTTTGAATACAAAATATTAATATGTAGCAAATGACAATATGAACAACAAATTTAATTTACAAGAAAATTAAATCATACATTACAATGTATATTAATGTTCAATTCCATGTAATAATCCGGGGCATTGCCCGGGTCCAAAAACTAGTTGCAAAATTAAATGGTTGTTATTTGACTAATAGCAATGGCTTCCCAAATTCTCAAATGTATGTTTGGAAATCCCTCATTCAATAGCTTCAAAAATTGATTCCCTAATGGCTCATTTTTTTCTGGGGACACAAAGATAATAAATTGATTCCCTAACAGCTTCGTTCTTGTACTACCTCTGTTAAATGTTATGTGCAACTTTAGAGCATTATTTGTGAGATATACAATATTTCAAAGTTGTACATAACATTTAACGAAAGTAGTATATATTTTTTTTCCTTTCTAATTTGTACAGAGTATTAAACTCTGTTTAAGCATTTGTTTAAAATTTTTTGAATGATTAAGCTTACCTATATGTCTATATCTTCGATCCCACATAAATACAAACATGTTTATTTCTTCTGTAGATAATTTAAGCAAGATATGTAATAAATTGATGAAATTTTATAAATTTATGGATTTCATAACTCTTATAACCACCTAAGATATTTGAGAAGTATTATTGAGAAGAATAAATAAAGTAAATGACCATTAATCATAATTAAAAGTGTGTGTGGAGCAAAATGAACAAGTAAAAAACACATGGTGACTAATTAATAGTTTGGAGTGAAACTGAAGGTGAACATTCCACCAAAAGTAAACAATTAATTAAAATTAGTTTGTTGCCTACTATTTATGTTGGTTGCTTATTTTAGCAGATATATACAACAACAATATTGGATGGCATTAGAAATGGTCATCTTACCTTCTCGAGCTTGTGTTCCAAGCATCTTTATAGGAATTAGGAGGACTACATGTTTAATCTTTCTTACTATAATGCCCTTAAATTAATTAACATCTCAACTAAAAATTGACTTCCATTCTCACACTTTCACCCAATTATTTTTATTAGGCTGATAAAGATTAATTAATTAATTTCATAAAAAGTATGCTATATACACCTCAACATTTAATTGTGTATGCACCTTTTTCAAGTGCCTAATCCGTATACATTAGTGTAAAAAATTGTGAACCTTAAGGTCTGATTAATTAGGGTTTCACTCGTCATTTAAAAAATATATAAAAATTGTGTACATGCTTCAACCTTAGTTAATGCATTCTTTTCCTACTCGTATCTTTTAAATAGTTTAAGTATGCTATAAGATTTATAGGACATTTTTTTGGGTCTATAGAATGCTATGAATAGCAATGATTTAAATATGGAACTTGATCAAATCACCCAAATGTAAATCATATTATAATCAAAAATTTATAAATTAAACCAAAACATGTATATAATTCAATATTATATTACTTTTTTGAAGGAACAATATTACATCACTTCGTGCTAGGTAGTCTTGAGATTTTCACTTATTTTTAATTTCTAGTTTGAATAGAGTAATATATTAATAGGCCATTTTGATTTCAAACAAAAAAAAAATAATAAGCCATTTTGATTTCAAACAAAAAATAGGCCTCTTTTTTTACGAGAAATTAATAGGCCATTTTAAATGTAACAGGGGTTGCAGAGTATATTATGATAGATGTTATTTATTTTACTTTTATTAGGAAATATTGGCGTGCTTTCGTATTTAATAGCCTTGTAGAAACTTTCATGTGGTTGGTCACACCGTGTGGCCAACCATCATGGGAGTTAATTTGTTAATGTAGTGTTATACGGGTTTATTTTGTGAGTGTTACAAGAGTTACTTTATCAGTGTTATATATAGAGGTTACTCCGTCATTGTTATAGGGTTAGTTTGTTTTTTTTACATGTAGCTAGCTATATGGTGTGGTCAGCCGCACACAAAACGCGTTGTCTTCTTATGCCAATATAACTCCAACATTTTATTTTAAGAATAACTCCAACCATTATAACATTGAGAATTATATATGTTTGCTTAAATATCTCATTAATCATATTACTATATTTTGTTTCAAAAAAAATCATATTACTATATTAGTAATTTTAATTATATGATTTTGAAGGTATTTTAGCTAGATAATTGGGTAGCAATGTAGAATATACCATGCTAAGTCATCTAAAGATATTAATAAAAATAAAAATAAAAATAAAAAATTATTATGGCATTTAAAACACATTCCATGCACTGATGCACCATAATAAAACATGGACGTAGTGACGTACGAGTACTTGCTTGGTTTCAAAGTCAATATTTCTGTAATTCAACGGCCGCACAATTTAACTTGTTCATGTATTTTAATCAATTTGGTGTCGCTTACATTCTATTTCTAGATGTTAATTAACAAGAACTATAATATTAATAATGTGTTATACTAGTAAATTAGTTATATATACCACATAACAACAAGAGAAATACACTTGAAAACGATGTGTTTAGAAGGACTAACAACCCACCTTTCCTTCAACCCCAAGATAAATCATGTATATGATCTTCCTAACACTTCTTTCTCATTATTATTCATTCTTCTCTTTCTCTCTCATTTCAAAGCATTATCACACACATACAAACTTTAAGCCAGAGAGAGTTTAAATAAGAAAATCTCTTCATTTGATTTGATCTACATTCCAATTTTAGCTTGCTGGTCACGTTCAAGATATCATTGGTGGAGATAATTTGGATTACTACACCGAAAAAAAGACAATTGTAAATAAATCTTCTTAAATTAAAGTGTTTTTGACTCTTTGTTACACCTGCACGCCCTTTAACAAGTAAGTATAAACTCGTCTCTTATTTCGTTCTCCAATCATTTTCTCTATATGAAAAAGAAGTATAAATGTTTATACTTTATGTTTACTTTACTACATGTTTTTTTAATTGTTCCTTACCCACATATTTACACTAGGGATAATTTTACAATATAGTTACAATAATTTTTAAGTCATTATTATATTTTACATCCCCATAGATCAAGTAGTGCACAAAATAGTCATAAAATTTCATCGTTTGAGTTGAATTGTTATTTTTTGTTCTTTAAAATAGGATTGGTTGCTATTGGGTTCATTTTATTAGAAAATAGAAGGTTGTACCATCCTAATTGATCATCTTCTGATTCTATATGATTTCATACAATCCTACAACAATTATGTGTGATCCTACATGATCTTGGTACGATTCTATGCGATTTTGCTATGATTCTTTCTGAACTATGATTTTACCTCTAAACAACTAATTTCAACCTTAGCTCAATACTATCCTAACAAAAAAAATCAAATAGATGGTCAATTCTTCAAATATAAGAATTTCATAACTAGTTAAAGTTTAAAAAGAATTGTTCACAAAATTCAAACGTTTTGATTTATAATTATAACTACCATGATTTTATCATTTTTCATAGCTATTTAAAAGTCTTCCTTAATCAAAGAAATCTGCAAAGTCTTATTACTTTACATGATGATGATATGTGACACACGTAGGTGCATGTACTAGTGTACTACAAACAACATGCACTGCACGATTATGAATACAATGTATTCACTGACAATGCTCATCAAGTAGCTAGGTGTACACAGTACATGGTACATATTTTTGGCATCATTTTAGCCATGTTTTTATACCTTGCATTCGTAGAGTATATGGTAAATGGAAAGGAAAAAAAAATGCCATTTTTGGATTTTCTTTATTTTGTAAGATGTATAGATTACTACGTATGTCATCTCCATCAAACAAAATTTTACGCCAATAATTTTGATTTATTTTATCTGATAAATTAGAAATTTCTCTTGTAAAGAAGGTTTTTTTTTAAAAAATTCTTTATGTTACCCCTAAAAAAAATTAATTAACTTTTTGATTATTTAATTAAGCCGTGCATGTGCTCGTTGTGATTGTATATTACTTTATTAAATTGAATTTGATGATTTAATTAACAGGTAATTAAGGAATAAAGAAAGAGTGGGAAAATGGGAGAGAAATGGGAATTCCAAGTAGGAGTGGTAGGAGCATTGTTTCTATCAGTGGCATCATCAGTTTCTATTGTTATTTGCAACAAAGCCTTGATGAGTAATCTTGGCTTCCACTTTGGTACGTCTTTTTTCTCTTCTTTTTTTAACCTTAAGCTTTTTCTCTTTTTTTAAAAAGAAGATTTATGCTTTATCCGTTGACTTATATTTTTATTTCTTTTGCTTTTTATTACTGTACTTTTATAAATATAATTACCCTCTCTTTGTTTTATTGATACTATCATAGATTCATAGTTAAAGTTAAATTGTGAAAGTAAGTCAAATAGGGACTAAAAATCTTGTCACAAAAAAAAAAAAAAAAAAAAAATAATAATAATAAATAATTAAGGATTAAAAATTGATGGAGCCATAAAGAACAGTAATGTATGTTATTGAATTTTTAAATATTAAGTGTTAAATAAAAATTGAATTTTTAAACCTATATTAATTTATTGGATTGACCCAATAATAATTATAATACTAATAAATTGACCTTTCTAAAGAAACATAATTGTCCCTACTTCTATAGCAATGAATCTTTGCTTTCAAACAAATCATTGTTTGGTTTGCCCATAAAAAAATTTTATAAGCATGGCTGACCTTTGAATATTAGGCTTCACCAGCTATGGTGGTTGAGCATGGCTACAGTTCAACCAACAACAACAATGATTAACCAACAATAGAGAAAAAAAAAATCATTTCTAACTTTCAATTTAAGAAATACAAAATTCGGAAATAGCGTTTAAAATGTGATCTATTATTTAGGATCGAAAATGGTAATTTAATAGTTTTTATAATGTGACAGATCATTTTATTCAACAATTAGAAAATAATTGAATTGACACTTAAAGACTAACCATAATTTGGAGTACGGTTTTGTGATATTATTCGTATAAAGAATAAAACTGAATTTTACTGATTGAAACTGAATTTTACTCGAGTTAGATGATTTAATAACATGTGTATGTGAACCTATGTTCGTATTTGCAGCGACAACACTCACAAGTTGGCACTTGATGGTAACATATTGTACCCTTCATTTGGCACAACGCCTCAATTTTTTCGAGACAAAATCAGTGGACATGAAGACTGTAGTCATGTTTGGCATCCTGAATGGAGTTTCCATTGGACTTCTTAACTTGAGCCTTGGATTCAACTCCATTGGATTCTACCAAATGACGAAGCTTGCCATCATACCTTTTACTGTCCTCTTGGAAACTATTTTCCTTAACAAACATTTCAGGTTTTTCATTCATACTCTACTACTACTACACTACCATTCACTTGCATCTTCCAATTCGAAACTAACTTATTTACAATATTGTCACTAGATCGACAAAATAAATTTTATTATCTGTCAAAAAAACGTTCAGTTGAATAAAAAATTCAGGACAAGGCCTAAACATGTTAGAAAATCTGTTTATGCTGCTGGTTTTATTGATGAAACACGCGTTGTCTTCAAATTTTACAGTCGAAAGATAAAGTTTTCTCTGTTCGTCTTGCTGGTGGGAGTCGGGATTGCTTCTATAACCGACCTGCAGCTCAATTTTGTTGGCACAGTTCTTTCTGCTCTAGCCATAATCACAACGTGTGTTGGTCAGATTGTATCCTTGATTATTCTCTATTTAGCCTCGGTTCCTTTCATTACTACTTATAATATTATGTTTGTCCAAGAAATCAGCAACCAGAAACTATACTTATATAGTTTGATGACATAATTCATGAATTCCTTAACCAAATTATTATTTAGCTGACTAACACCATACAGAAAAGACTTAATGTTTCGTCGACACAACTGCTATATCAATCAGCACCATTCCAAGCAGCTGTCCTATTCGTCTTTGGTCCTATGGTTGATAAGTTCCTCACCAAGCAAAGTGTCTTTGCCTTCAAGTACTCTCCTCTTGTCGTGGTAAGTTAAAATTATAATTACAACTTTTCACTTGATAGAGTTTCATCCGCTCCTCTCATCGTGTATGCATTACTTTCATACAGCTGTATTTTTACAGACTGAAGTAATGCAGTCTGTACAATTGTACAAATAATCAGAACACAGAAAATCGCAACTAGCAATTAATCTAACAGTACAAACTTTAGCACATACTGCTAATACAGAGTTGTATGCATTACTTAAATATGGCTATAAGTGTATAATACAACACAGAGTTGTACCCATATAATCTGAACACAGAAAATCGCAACTAGCAATTAATCTAACAGTACAACCTTTAGCACATACTGCTAATACAGAGTTGTATGCATTACTTAAATATGGCTATAAGTGTAAAATACAACAGGGAGTTGTATCCATTAATTGAAGTATTAGCAGTATGTGCAAAATGATCTGAACACAGAAAATCACGACCACCAATTAATCTAACAGCAAACTTTAGCACATAGCATTTTATCCCATTCTTCCTGTAATCTTATCTTATATATATATATGACCCTATGAAATGTACTTAAATGAGCAGGGATTCATTGTGTTATCATGCCTAATCGCGGTGTCAGTGAACTTCAGCACATTCTTGGTGATAGGAAAGACATCACCAGTAACATACCAAGTATTAGGACATCTGAAGACATGCTTAGTACTTGGATTTGGTTATACATTATTACATGATCCATTTACAGAGAGAAATATAATTGGAATAACAATAGCTGTATTTGGGATGGGACTCTACTCATATTTTTGTACCAATGAGAGTAAAAAGAAAGTTCCTGTTGGAGATTTATCTACAGCTTCACAGGTAAATTTATCAACTTTTTTTTATCTTTATTTATGTTCTTGCTTTATTTCTACTTTACTAACAAATTAAAGTAATTCCTCTTTCAATTCATACTACTTTCACAATTGTAAAAGATATAACTTTTGTATTTGAATTTTTTGAAAATTTGATTCTCCCTTTTAATTGTGATTAATACTGTACTACTTTTCACCTTTTTTTCTCTACTTTTTTCAAGTGTTATATAATTATTCCCTTTCCTAAACCAAACAACTTATTCCCTTTCCTAAACCAAACAACTTATTCCCTTTGAATTGGGCAGCATTTTTAGTTCTTCCATTTTCCTCTTTTCCTTCTAATTACAATATAACATAGTCTGTTTGTAAATGCAAAAATACAACTTATTTGAATAGAATTTTCTATTAATTAATAAGGTTGCATTTTTTTCACTTAAAAAAATAATACTCTCTCTATCAGCATATGATGACTTCATGTATTTTTTATTTTTTAGGATATCCAAAAAAAATATTATTGTTACTGTGAAATAAAAAATTATCTTACTCAAATCATATGAAGTAGAGAATAGAACTAATGTTTCATATGGGGCGTGATAGAATATAAAACATATTAGACGCTTTTAATTGGTTGAGGCCTAAGAATATGTTTTATACTCTATCACTATACCCTTATTGTAGTTCTCGTAATCTCTTTTTAAACATTCTCGTGCCACTACTAAGTTTCTAAATATGTGTTGATGCGTGTTAAAACCTAACAGAAAATCAAAGATTTTTCATGGACATAGAAAATTCCACGTAGTAAAAACATTTGTTGTAAATTAAATGCAAGAATTAAAAATTATTTTCTATATTTCCTTTATTCAGATATTTTTTTATTTTTTATTTTTTTTAAAAATTTGACAAATACTACCGCGTATTAAGGTTATTTTGAAAAATTTTCTTTTATTACCAGCTCCACTATTTGCCAGGTATGAAATCACTTTTTTCCCTAACCTATGTTTAACCCTTAGTTAAGCATTTAAAGACCCTAAAAAAAAAAAAAAAAAAAAAATCACTGACCCATGGTTAAGCAAATTATTTAATTGTAGTAATTGCCAAAGAGGCATTAAAATGCAATAGTAATCGACAAATTTTCTTTTTAAAAAAAAAATGGAGAAATGGTAAATACATTTAAAGTCTAAGACATAATGAGAGGAAGGAATACTAACGGCATTGTGAATGGCATGTTGATGTTGCAGATAAAAGATAAAGAAAACTTGCCATTATCAACAATGAAGAATGTGGGCGTACAAGATAATGAAGGCCATGAAAAGGTCAAAGCAGCCAAGGATTCTCTTGTCTAATCATCAACTTTTTCTTTTTTTTTAATAACCTTTCTTATTTTTTGAATTTTACCTTTATTTTTTATTTTTTAAAAGGGGGTGGGGAGGATTTTTGTAAGGGATTGGTATTATACCAATATTCTTTAAGGTTCATTTCAATTATATTCTAAAACAGTAAATTGAAGATAATACTCATCTTTTTGCATTATGCTCCACAAAGCCACTTTTTACCAACAATTTGAAAAGTGCCTTAATACACATGTTTTTATATTCTCCTATGTCCATTAGTCATTTGACAACTCGCAAATGCTACGTTACTCGCACGTATGCTTCCATTCGTCATAATTATTTGATCAATACAGAGTATATACTTGTCGTTTTATTTCGAGTACAGAGGATAATACGAAGTAATTTTTTATTGTATTTAGACACATATCCATGTCAAAAATGATACCTAGCTAAGTCCCAATTTTTTTTATAAGTTTGCCATGAGTTGTCATTAGATGTTACTATGTTAGGTTGTAATTGACGATTGTGAGCATGAAAAGTCCAATTATAACCTAATGTTTGCTAATCATAAATAGCTTAGGTTGAATTTGGTAAAGGGTATATTGTCATTAGGTGTTACTATGTTAGGCTTGCAATTGACGATTGTGAGCATGAAATGTCCTCATTGGTAAAGTCCTCGTTTGTCATGGCTAACTTCCTCCGGGCCACTAACTCCGTTGGCCACAGCTTCGAGGTCGGCTCAGATACCATTGATACAGGACAATAAGAAAGTCATTCCCAAGCTAGCTCAATGGGAGGAGAGCTCATTGTCCTATATTAACCCCACATTATCCCCCAATATGACCAATGTGAGATTTATGTCCCATACCTTGCTCCTATAATATAACTGATTGAAGAACATCAAATAATGATTTGTACACGGAATAATGATTTGCAAAATATCTGTTTTTAGATATTGTTAACGAATATCTAATTAGATTGTTGACGACATTAGCGGCTTAAACGAAATGACAACTAGGGCAACTCACTAAATTATACTTCATCACAGTTACAACACATCTTTCCGGCATGCCAATTGAGGAACAATGGTAAATGATCAAAGTGTTAAAAATAATTAAAACTTTAACAAATTAACCCTTTCATCTCATTGGTGCTTACTGGTTAGGTTATTTTTTAAAAAAATTGTCTGTTTACCTTCTCCATAATCTCCTTAAATAACTTGCTTAAAAAGGTGTAATTTTAAGTAAATAGAAACAAAAGAATTATGGAGTACTTTTTTAGAATAGACGTCTTTTTATGATGGTGGCTTTTATCAGGCTGGCCGCAAAGGATTCTTGATTAAGGGGAGACATGATAATTTTTTACCTAAAATGCGTATGTGCTAGTGCGAGGCAAGACGAATATTGTGGTGCTGTTTTCCTGAGGGAATCCTAATAGAATCTCATAAGTGCACCACTATTTTTATTACTCCATAAAATCACTTGAAGTATTAGGCTTAAAAGTGAAGGTAGGTCATTATATCCCTCATCTTTGAACAAGGTCACTCTTTGTTCTAATAAAATTAGTTCAGCCCAAGAACCGGGGGCGATTGTAGTGTGCGTAGAGCTTCGATGTTGGTGGCAAGGTATAGCGTCAACAATTAAAAAAACATGGGAGATGTACCCATGTAGGCCAGACATTTTATACCTGAAATGGGACAATTGTGAAATTGTCTTCCAGCAACATCATATCAACGCCACTATCTAATAGTGGCGCTCTCATGATGATTTTTGGCCGATAGCCACTCGGGCTGCAGTCATGACGGGAAAATAACAGGGTAAATGTTGGAGATTTTAGGTCATGGCCATAATAGCCATATACGGCAATGTACAAGTATCGTACATGATTTTGCAATGATCATGACAGTGATATTTTTAAACGAGTTACCTAGACCAATACACAATTTCTACTAATTTGTGCAAATTTTTGTACACACCTCAGTGTGCCAATAAATATTGATCGAAGTTGTGTTATTTGTAAGAGAAACATAATATACAAGTCAAGGCATCGAGCAAATATGGGCAATAAGGAAAATACGGAAAGAATCAAGAGTGAATAATTTAATTCACTTTGCCAAGAATTTAAAGTCTCCAATATTAAAAAAAACAGCAAATTACACTTGCAAGGCTATACCCCTTCTTCCCATGGAGAAACACATTGCTTTCTCTCTTTTATCACTTATGTACAAAAAACACCCAACAAAAATTTACCCGATTATAGAACCAAAAAAACCAAAAAAAAAAAAAAAAAAAAAAAAAAAAAAAAAAAAAAAAAAAAGAAGTCCAATTACCACCTATACCCTTCCCACCCAAAATTTTCTTCAAAACTATCTCTCTTTCTCCCATTATTATTAGTCATTTACAAAATTACCTTCCTCTCCCTATCCTCGCCCCGGTTTTCTAACAAAGCTAAAATCTAGAGGATTAATTTTTTAAAAAAATAAGGTAGAATATGTAGATTATATTTTGGAACGAGCAATCTCAAAATTTTACTAAGATTGCAAATTACCTAGGACTTGGACGGCCAGAGAGTGATCGAGGAGGCCTCACAGGAGGAGAAGGCGGCATGTTAGGAATCACCATTGTCTGGGAGCGAGAGATCATATCAGCCATGAATGAGGTTTGGTAAGCTTGAGAAAGATTGGTGCTGCTTGTGGAATCGACTCTTACAGTAGCCCTTTGCCACGAATGTGAACTCAGTCCAGACAAAACATATGCCCTTCCAGATGCCTCGTACACCTGGCGGGTAGACATCCTCTCCTTCATCTCCTTTAGTTCATTTAGAAGTCCCACACACAAGGGGTCTTTTGCTGATACACTGTCTGACAATGTTTGCCGACAGCTCTCAAGGATAGACACTGCACCCGCCAAATCACTATTTTCAGCAGCAGATCTAGCCTCTGACATAGCATCTGCTGCTTTAAGCCTGTTACGCTGCTTATCCACCTCCATGGAAACCTCTACATGCTCTGCTCTCTCTGGCCTATTGATCTTGACACCTTCAACTTCATCTAAATGTGTCACCTCTTTTGTGATTGGGTCCTTATAAGTGCAACTAACTTTCAGCAGTGGCATCTCACTTACAGATGCCTGAGGAATATTCATAGTCACAAGAAAATCCCTTTCTTCTTCAGCATACAAATCTCCAACATTTATGTAACCTGTTCTTGCACCATCCAACAGTCGAGTGTGGTAGCTTCCAGCTTTGATTGACCCAAGCTTCAAATTAGGGTATACACAGTTAAGTTTCAATTCTAGCTCTTGTACAACCACACTCAGCAAACCTCCCATGCACTGGGCAAAAGCATCTTGAATCACACACTCAGTCTCTATAAAGGAGAATGTGCCTCCAGAACCCTCGGAGATGGAATGCATTGAAACAGAATCATGATCTGAACCAAACCCAAACGTATGCACTGGTATCTGAAAGCTAGTTCCTGAATTCTGTTGGATAAAATTTGGAAGGAGCGACTTGTAGTCTGTCCTAGATTGTGCACCAGCAGGAGCATTGACTGTATATGTATCCTGCCCATCAGATAAAAGGATCATACTGCTAACCGGGTTTTTACACTTCCGCTCTAACATAACCTTAGCACCCTTCTTGAGACCTTCAGCAATATTAGTTCCACCATTAGAAGAAAGGGAATTAACTGCTTGGAGAGCCTGATTTCTACCATTGTCAGTCATCCTTTTAAGGGGAAAAAGACGGCGGGCTGAAGAGGAAAATACTATAACTGAGAGCCTATCATGAGGACCAAGGTGATGTATCACAAATCCCATAGCACGTTTAAGTAATGCAAGCTTGGTACCTGCCATGCTGCCGCTCACATCCAGTACAGTAACCAGATCAACTGGAGCACGAGAATTATGAGATGGCGAGCTGGCACCATAATAGCTTATTTCGGCAACAGGAGCCTTCAGGTGTATCAGAACTGAGAAATTATCATAAGATGCTAACTTAGCAACGGAAGAAACTTCAGGACATGTCTTTATCGCTACCCTTCTCATAGAGCTTTCATCAGAAGCACTATGAGCAAATTGTTCCCTAAATGTATGTTGTTCATCTATGAGGTCATCGTCATCAAACATAGCAGGTTCAGCAACCCGGTACGAGGGGGAGATGTTCTGATTAAAATCTGGTTGAGGAAGGGGAAGCTGCTGCAGAGCAGCTACCATTGGATAGTCTCTGTTCCCATTGATTGAGTTAGCTCTCAGCTTTCCATGGAGAGCTTCCGAAGTCTGACCTTGGGAAGGAATTTCTGTCCACTTTGCTCTGCAGATTGGGCAAATGTGATTGCCATGCTTCACATTAGATGTGATGCAGTTAAAGTGAAATGAGTGTGAGCACTCAGCGGTAAAAATAGCATGGCCCTGGCCTGGGATCACAGTGCTCAAGCATATTGCACAGGTCTTCTGCAGTAATGAAACAATAAAAGTTAAGAAGAAAAGTTCTACATAGAAGCTTTAATAATCTTGGGCAAATATTTAAAAAAAAAAAAAAAAGAAAAGAAAAACAGTAAAGAGAGGAGAGAAACCTATAAAAAGGATAAAACCAATAAACATTGTGAGTACTATATTTCCACCCAGCTTATGCCTTTTCAGTATGATTAATTGAATTCAATCATTTCGGTTGCAAGATATGGGAAGACAAGTAAAAATTTAAAATTAAAATTTAAAAAACAAACAAACAAATACGGTGTTTACTAACATCCTCATTCAATATACTCAAGAATTCCCAGTGGAGTATCTATGCAATCTAAATGTAATCTAGAAAACCTGTGTCATCACTTCCCACCCCACAGATTTAAACCAGAAAATAAAAAACTCTTGCAGTCTTACTTACACAGCTGAGGCCAGACATCATTGTTTCACCTTTTCAAATTCTCGTCATAGCAAAAGCATTGGCAAAATTGTCAATTATACAAAACAAGTTCAATACAGAGGCCTAAGAACAAGATACATGCACCTAATTAATTCCTGCAAGCTTTAAATAATTTTGACACCCAAGTATCAAAATCTACAAGCATGAAGGCCACTGATTACTTCTTAGCATGTTCCAGTCATTTAGGACTCCCAGTTTCAAAACTTAATGTCAAGATTTCCCAAAGACAGATGACTATAATAATTGGAGCCATGAACATTCATTTGAGATTGAACATCGGTTCTTCAGCTTCTTCTCAGTTTGGCCTCAGCATCATTTAGTCACTTATTTCTAGGTTCTAGCTATACAATGAAAAATAATCTATTCCACTTAGACTAACTCTGAAGCAGAAAAATAATAGACATAAATGCATAGAATCCTGGAATGGAAAATACAAATTGCGCTTGATTAATATATATGACAGCCAGGTGACATTTGGGGTCAGTATATCCCACAAAAATTAGAACTTACCGACCATGAAAACAATATCATTCTGTCTAAAAGTACACAGGCACGCAAAATTAGACAAGATACTTACATCACATACTACTAATTAACTCTGACAAAAATATTGATAATAGGGTACAATGGATTTCTTAAGTATATAATTAATAGAATTATTATTTAAGCGATAACTTTATGAATTAATAAAATAAAAAACAATCTTGTTAGGTTAATTGTTAAAATATTATACAGAATTTTACAATAACATAGAAGAGAGACCCATAATTTTAGTTTGAAAACAAAAGTCATATGAAGTCAACTAATATTAAAAGGATGGGTGTATCCTTTCTACTATGTAGCAATGCAGTGGGTATAAAGATCTCACAAATATCACTTGTAGCTTAGTGGCCCAAACCAATATGCATATTAATACCCAAACATATGGATTGTAATTTGAAGATATTTCCTTACAATTTGCAATGTAAGTGAGATACGAATTAACATGACTACAAAAATAATCAATCCCACCGCCTTATCCTAAAGGGCAAAACATTTAATGGGGTACACAACTTCGTACTATATTTGAAGGTGTTGGAAAATGACCTAAAAATCAATTAATGCAAACAACTAGCAAAATTCCAAATCTGGGAAACCTATTCGAGCCCGTTACCTTTGAAAAGGAGACAAGCTAACTAATCATCAAGAAAGAATTGAATTTTCAACATTGCCCAACAAAATATGCCATTGGTTACAAGTCATAATGAGACATATACAGAAAAGGACCTCCAAATAAATTAGAACATTAAAATAATGCAAAAAATAATTTTTGAAAAAAGCTGCTTCAAATAATCTGAAATATGACTTAAGACTTTTATATCCTAATGATCAATACATTAAATAAAGATAATAATCAACTTTTAACAACTGAACCAAAATACATTTGAAATCTGACCGCGAAGATTTCAAAAGGGGATAAACAGATAGATTCAAGTCTTTTGTTGTCTTTCCTTTTTTTTTTTCTTTTTCTTTCATTATCTTAATAAAATACCAGGTAATAAATTTACAGAATTTCCATTCTCAATCAAATCAAAAGAGAAAAAAAATAATAAAAAAAAAAAAAAAAAAATTAAGGGCAGAGCCAGATAACTTCAAGTTAATAAATTGATTTTAATGTAAAACTTAGGTCATAAACAAAACAGCCCATCAATAAATATATTGCAAAATATCTTTTATGAAAATACGAGCCACATCTGCTTCCCCTAATAATAATTATCTCTTCAAATCAAGAAAAGGGGAGGGAGAATAAACAACAAAAAAGATTGGTCAAGAACCAACAACCAGTCAGATAAAAATGTCAAAGTATAACTCTACAAGGAAGAATCAAATAAATACCTTCATATTGAATCTAATTATCTAACCAAGAAAAAAGAAAAACATATAATAAAAAGTCAATGTTAGGCTGCCAAAAGGATGAAGGATATAATTAAAACTAAAGAGCAATGCCAAGTGGGGAAGACTTTTATTTTTATTTTTTGCAAAAGCAAAAGTGATCAAGCAACTCTCTCACCAGTCATAATTATGAAGCTTTCAAGGCAAACATTAGGGAGATGATGAGCCCCACCCATCAAAAGAAGTGGAAAATCATGAAGAAAGAGAAAACTACTGTTTTCTTCTTTACCTCCATTAATTTATTTATTTTTTTTATCAAAAATAACCTTAAGTACCCCATTTGACAACTTTGAGGAGTTTTAGGCTCATACCAATTGAAAGAAACCTCACAATCAACGGTCAACAGGCTTTTTATCTAAATAAGCAATTCATCAAAAGGAGGGAGAAAAAAAAAGGGTGAAGAAATGGGGTGAAAATGGCCACAGCTGCTGACCATGCAAAGCACTTTCCCTTGAGGGAAATAAAAGTTGAATAATTTACTCCCTTCATTCTTTTATTAGCTGTTCCACTTCTTAGATGTATTTTCGATCTTGTTAGATGTGTTTCAAGAAATATATACTACATAATTTTTTGTTAAATGCACACAAGAAAGAAATTAATCCATGAATGTCTAAATAAATGCATCACTCGCTTTATTTAGTCGTCCATATAATACTACTCTTGCCCCAAATTTACATTATAGAGAAAATAAAAGTTTATCTACGTTATAATACGAGTACTACTTTTCATAGTCCACTTGCCCACTTTTATATTAATCCGTATAATAGTATTTATCCCACCCCACTACTAGCCCACACCCACAAAATGTCGTCAAACTAAATTACGGGCAAATACAAGTGAGAGCATTTACTAGTATAAAAAACCGGAGGGAGTAATGGTATGGTCAGGTAAGCCCATCGCATTACATGTTACATGAGACCGTGAAAAGGCAAATGGAGCAGCACGACCGAGCTAGTATTGGTTTTCCTTTTACTACAAATGAACCAAAGGGGTAGTAGTGATGGTCCCTAAAGTTGTACAATCTCACCCACTCTACTTTATTTTCCCCACAATCCACTTACCACTTGATAACAACAACAACAACAGCAACGACAATAAAGCCCCATCTTTCCCCCACTATTCAGATTCCTTCACAGTATATCCCATTATTACCCTTTTTTTATTAAATTCAATTGCATTTTACAAATTACATTAAAATAACAATTAAAAAAACAACCCATAAAATTAACAAAAAAATATTAAATTTAACCATTATAGCAGAAACCCAGATGAACAATTTCACATAAAATAAAATAAAATAAACAAACACCAACAAAAAAACGCAATCCAATTCAAAAATCAATCAAAATAAGAATTACGATAACAATTATTACGAACAGAAATCGAACCTTAGAAGATTTCGAAGATTTGGAGGAGCTGCGAGAGAAGCGGAGCCCGGAAGAGGAAGGAGTAGGAGTGATAGGAGAAGAAGGGCGGCAATCGGCAGCAACGGAGGCGGTGGAAGAGGAGAGAGAAACAACGGCGTCGGAGAATTGCCGGCGATGACCGCCGTTAACGGAGGCGAGTACGGCGGCGGAAGAAGATGAATTGCTGTTATTCTCGTCATCAAGGGTACGAGGGAGTTGGACGCAACCCAACGCTAATTTAGCCTTCCGCCATTTGCTTCCCACCATTTTCTAAAAGTGACGGGAAAAAACCCAGAAAAACGACGAGAAGAGGAGAGAGAAAAAATGCAGATCAGGGGAAAGAGAGAGACGCCATGAAAAGAGATTGAAGGGTTTTTAGAGAGAGAAAGAGAGGATGGAGTTTGGCGGCCATGAAAGGGAGATAGAGAAAGAGAGAAGGTTGATAATAATAATAATATTAATAATATTTATAAATAAATAATATTTGGAGTTTTGACTTTAATAAGAGAAGGAGTATTCGTATAAATTTTTTATTTTTATAATATAAAGTATGAAATACGATGTGATGGGATTTATTTCATTTGGTTGAATAGTTAAAGGAAAGCAAATACATTGGGTTTGGAGAATAATTGAAGTGGCCCAAACCCCAACGCAACTAATACTTGTTTATTATGGTAATCTTTGATTTGATTAATTAATAGTGTGATTTTCTATGACTAATTATATAATTATTTTTAGTATATGCTGACTATGTGTTTTGGATTTTTATGTATGTTGGACTATGGATAGAACTTGAGAGTCTGGGCGACTGGCAAACAGTTGTGTAAGGCCCGTTTTCTAAAGCCGCTCGACGAGGAAATCTGCTTTAATCTGCTCTGTTTTGCCCTGCTCTGCTTAAAAATAATATTTAATATTGAATCTTTATAATAATAATAAATATATAATTAATATCAAATTATTATTATAATAATAATAATTAATATTTAATAATAATAATAATAAATAAATAATATTTATTAATAATAATAATATTATTATTATTAAAATTAAAGTTTAATAATAACAACAATAAATAATTAATATTTAATAAAAATATTATTATTATTAACAATTAATATTTGATAATAATTATAAATAAATAAATAATATTTAATAATAATAATTTTATCAAAAAAAAATATTTAATAATAATAATAAATAATAAATAATTAATAATTATAAAATTGAGAATAATAATTAATATATAATAATTATAATAACAATAATAATTAATATTTATTATTATTATTATTATTAGGGAAATTCTCAATGGTAGCCTCGTGTTTTTGCTTTTTCTCAATGGTAGCCAATTTTTTTTTCAATTCTCGATGGTAGCCTCAAACTTTTAAAAAGTTACAAACGTAACCTTATTAACCTAAAAACGTTATTTGCCCGTTAATTTTAATGATTTTTGGTTACATTTAAATTTAGTTAGTAATTAAAACCCCCACCAACCCTCATTTAACTCGAAGAGCTTTCGTAAAAAAAAAAAAAAAAAAAAAAAATCGAAAAGCTTTTCTTTCTCTTTCACTCATCTCATTCAACTTCTACCTTGGTTCTGCGTGAGGATTGCGAATTCTAGGAAGTTCTTTGGGAAGGATTTCGGCAATTAAGAAGCGATTTTGTTATCCTTTGTTTGGAAAACGCAAGGTATGTACAATTATTCCTTCTTATTTTGCTTAATTTTGCTGTTTGATGTTGTATGAGTTGTGAAATGGTTAAATCAATTGAAAATGTTGGTGTTAAACTCGAAAAAATTAGGGTTTTTTTGCTGAATTACGCAGTTGTATGTTGTTATATGTATAAATTGTATGTTTTTTTTGTTTGGGTTTTGATGTTTGGGTTATTTTTGGGTAAAATTGCATGAAATGCGCAAGTTTGTATGTGTTTAGGGGTAAAATTGAATGCGTTGTGAGAAAGCTTGTGTAGACACCCATTTGTGTCTCCCCAAAACCAAACCCAGTGATGAGTACCTTTCACGTCGAATCATAATCGAATGAATTGAAAGTGTGGAAAGTTTAGTGTTGCGGATAGTTTTAAATTATTTTCTCTTCTCTCTGTTTTTGAAAATTTATTTTAAGAAAACAGCCAATCCAGTTTGGTTGGTCCATGATATGGGTCCAAAGTAGTGTAGTTGGATGGGGCTTGACAAGAGCTTTCCAATGATATATTATAAGCCCAATTCCGATGAATATTGAGGAAGTTATGGCCAATTTACTAAACTGGGCCCGGTTTGAGTCTTATATACGGCCCAATGATCTAGGGGAGGGCCTAATATGATTTATCATTACTAATGCAATTAGGAATGGTTTTAGTCTTCTAGATTCTTCTAGAAGGTTCTTTTCATTCCTAATTCAATTAGCATTGATAAATTGACTTTTGTTGACTTTTCAAAGTTTTAATTAAAATCAAAGAACATTTTTGAGGAAAAGATACGATTTTTTCCTCCTGTACGACAAAACTTATCTGATTTTCGAAAATGCGTTAAAAATAGGACTAGCGCCTGACGCAGGCATTGGCGCCTGGAGCTAGGCCTGGTGCCTGGCGCCAGCTATTGGCGCCCAATCAGCTAGCGTTGGCGCCAGCTCTGTTTTGCGTGCGCCAGACTCTGTTTTGTTAATTTTATCTTTTTGGCTGATTTTCTCTATAAATAACGTCGTAAAAACTCCGTTTTCATCCACCACCAACCAGTTTTGAATTCTCTCATTCTCTTTAATCGTTCACTAATTCTCATCAAAATTTCCTTAATCATTCATCCATCTCCTTCTCTCTCTCTTTTTCTAAACTAGTCTTTTAAATACAAAATTCCGCATTCATTAGATCTAGAAACGCCTAGCCATATTTGAAGTTGCCTTTGCCCAAGACGTGAAAGGTTTAATTTCTGAGGGTTTGGTCCCAAATCTCTATTTCAATTATTTAATTTAATTGTTTTGTTTATTATTTTCCTTGAAGTTACTAACGTGTGTATTTTGTTATTAGAAAGAGGTACGAAGCATCAAAGTAAGTGCTTTAATGGTTTTAATTGATATTATGATGTAGAAATCATGTTTAAATTGTTATGATATTCCTAGTATCATGTCTAGGGTAACTTTAATATTAAGTATGATTAAAAGTACGATGCTTCCTATGTTCTTCCTAATATTTATGATTGTTAGTATCATGTTAGGGTTAAAGATTTGATTTTTATTGCTTAGTGACATGCTAGGATTTGTTATTTAATCTTGTTAGTATCATGCATAGGATCTTGTTATTATTATGCTTTAATATTAACATGAAATGATTATGATTATAATTGTTATAATTTATGATGATTATGAATATTATTATTATTATTATTATTATTATTATTATTGTTATTATTATTTTGATGATGATTATTTTATTTATGATGATATTATTATTGCTATTATAATTATTATTCATGATATTGATTTATTATTATTGTTGCTTGATATTTATTTTTATTGCTTGATCACGCCTTTTATGCATGTTTAAAGGGAATTTTGTACTTGTAATCACGCTTAATAAGATAATTAATAATCTTGTTTAGGGTTAATGTGATTATAATTTCAAGTGATCGCCAATAATAGTTTATTTGTGCATTAATATTCAACCAACATAGATAAACAGGTTCAAGGTAATCCTATTGATTGCATGTTAGTCAAAAAGCGCACATGAATACGATCTGAATAAAGTAGAGGCCTATTATTAGGGCAGGTTCAATCTCTTTTAGGTTGGATTTGTACCTTCATCCCCGAACCCTTATTTGGTTCTAGACCTTATGAAGTTGACGTTCTCTTGGATCGTTAAGGGGTGTAACCTTCACCTCGTGAACGGTTTACAAGTTCCTAAAACTTGTTGGCGACTCTTTTGCTCTATCTTCTTCCCTTTTGGACGCCACCGTACTTTAGTGTATGGTCACAGTGAGGTTCAAGCTAGGGGATTAACGCTTGAAATTATTCCCTACATCTTGTATCTTGTTTTTGTAGATCATCTGTATTCTCTTTTTTGAATTTTTTATACTTAATTGTTGCTGAATGGATTATCCAGTGGTGCTTAAGTTTCAATATAAGCATACTAATGTTGAGGTTATTATAGATGACATTGATAAGGCTTCTCTGATTGATGTGACCGTAGACTATTTGGAAATATGTAGGATAGAGGAATTGGAAACACCTAGATACTCTAGGTTTGAGTATTGTTGGAAGATGAGACAATATAAGCTTAGGAATGATTTTAAGGTCATGGAAATGTTTGAGAGGCTACCTGGTAAAACTCTGATTCATATTTGGGTTGATAATGGTGAGTGTGAAACAGATATTGCACAAGCTGCATTTAATTTAAGAACTAGTAGGTTAACAAAACAACTACATGAACAATGGGTAGAGGAAGGAAGAAAAGATGTCAATGAACCTAATCAACCCGGGAAAGTAGTAGAATCTGGACCAAAGGAACCACCTGTTAGGTATGTGCTTGGAGGAGGTGGAGATAAGGACAAACCAATGAAATTAGTACCTTTGAAAAGTACAATGCAGGCTAGGGAAGACCAAATTTTGCATCAGCAATTAAGTGATATGCAGATTGACCCTGACATGACAATGGTTGACATAGAAATAGAAAAAGAGATGTATAGGGAATCTAGTAGAGGAAAATATAGAGGAAGTAGAAGGAGAGGAAGAGGGGAGACAGGGAGAGGGATAGGGGGGAGGGAGAGGTAGAGGTAGCATAGGGAGAGGAAGCAGAGGGGGCAGAGGGAGGGGTAAAAGTATTGGGTACACTTTTGAGCAGTGGTTGGGTATGGACAATCCTGGGGTTCAAAATCAAACTCAAACCCAAATGCCTGTTGCAGATCACATCCCCAACACTGAATTACACACACCCCCAGTTCTTGTGGTGAGGAGGAGCCCAAGAAAACAAGGAAAGAAAGCCCCAACCCCTGTTCCAGAAAATTCTAACCAATCATCACTAGCTGAAATTCAACCCAATGATCCTGCACACCTAACCCAACCCCTTCTTCCCAATGACCATGCTGAAGTTCAAACACAAGAAAACCCCATTGTAGCTTCTGTGATTCCTACTCCATTCAAACCTACACCTTAAATAGGGGAGCAAGGAAATACATCAGGGTCAATTAGGTCTTCCCAAGCTTTCACTACTATTAAGAGGAAGATTCCTCTTACAACAGCTAGGAGGAAAGGGATAGTAACAGAGAACTCAGTCAGTGAGGGGAGCATCAGTCTTAGTCAAGGGGTTGGGAGTAGAAGGAGAAGGGAGGTCACTGTCAGTTTACGTGATGACATCCAGATAGGGTTTGAAGATGATGATGAAGATGATTACATCCCTGATGATGATGAGGGAGTGTTGATGGATGATGATGATGATAAGCGTGTTGATGATGAGGATGATGAAGAAG